TGGGGAGAGTCGTTTTTGTTAGCAATCAAGTGGTCAGTCTAATCCGACTTTCTTTGTAATCCCCACTCGTTCTTTGTACATATACATGTATTCACCTATACCTGTGCATTTTACGTAGATAAAGACGTCCTGCTCTTTGGGATCGCTCCAAGTGGATCAGACACACGGGGCTCGGACGACTACATGTCGACTCACGACTTCGATCTTGTCAAAGTCACAAAGGACTGTCGCAAGGAAGGTCGCAGAGCTCGGTGATCCGGAATCCATTCGGTTTCGTTATCTTCAATACACGAACATGCCCGATGCCTCGTCAATGAGCTGCTTAATATTCTTAGGCTGCTCGATCTGCTCTGGGATATCAGCACACTCCGTGGGCTTGTACATACCGTGCGGAGTCTTGAACTTTCTGCGCAGGCTTCCATCACGTCAAGTTACGGCTAGTGCCCGTACTGGGTCGCTTCATCATAGCGCGCGCCGACAGCGTCATACATGTCCTTGCCCAGAGGCAAGACCTTTTGGACAATAATCAACTTGTCGATAACCTCGACATTGAGACGATCATCAATCCTGCGTGTTTATACCGATGCAATAAGTTGGGTAGATGTGTTACTGGGAGTTAGCAATTTCGTTACAACAATGCAAGAAGGGCAAAAGTCGTTATCGTCTCAACTCAGTGGGTATACAGAATCTACAAGAGCCTTTGCTGCCTTCCTCGTACTTTCTAACTAATCGGCCGCGAGACCCGTCGTGCGTCGTGCGGAATGAGCGCAATACCGGTTTTTGTTGTCCAGGTAACGCGTGTTAACAAAGCGCCCGAAGGTGTCGAGTACGTTTGGAGCGTAAGAACCGAAGTTCAAAGTTTACTCGTTGGCTGTACTTAAATCTGACGCATGCCGATTCGTCATTAAAACTATTCCGTTAAATTGTAAGTGTCGGGTGATGGCTATACTACCCATCCCCTTCACTACTCACCCCGAATCGATGCTTCAGTCCCTGTATGCGCATGCATTCATGAGAAACAGCTCATATATACAGTAATGATGAAGAGAGTGATATTTAAAATTCTTAAAAGAAAGTAAGAAAGCAAGTAAGTACAATTAGATTATAAAATAGCTATAAGTAAGTGAGAAAATGAAAGTGGGTGAATGAGTAAGTGAGTAAGTGAGTGAGTAAGTGATTGATTTCTTACTACCAGGTAGATAATGTAAACGGATCAGCCAATCCGTTTTGAATAGACTTGAATCCGGTCCACGGCAACCAGATTTAAGCCGGATCCAATCCGAAACAAATCCGATTGGACTGGAAGTTTATTGGGCAAAAATGGACCAATCATGGCTTTGTCTTGCTCAGTGTATTTTAGTTTCGCCTCATCGACTTGATACGAGCATATCGACTAGGAGAGAGAGAACCGGAGAGGAATGGACTTGACCACTACGCGGGAGCCGAGGACCTCGAGGACCTCGAGGAGGTAGCCTCCTGTCCGGCCGCAAAACGCCACTTCTGTCTTTCCATTCCTCCATTCCCCCCCCCCAAGCCCGGAAACTCGCGCTTCCGACCTCGCGCCCGTCACGCACGTACCAAGCATGACATCGACACCGACAGCATCTCGACTTTGTCCTCTATAGGGCCATCTATCTCTTCTGTTGGTGTCGCCAGCTCCGTGGGTCAGAAACGCAAGCGAAAGAACGCGTCTGATGTCTTCAAGTACGTTGAAGAGCTCTGCACTGGTGCCTATAAATGCATGTTGTGCCCCGGTGACGAGAAGATCTGGAGCTCTTGTAACACAGGCAACTTCCGGAAGCACCTCATCGATTATCATGCCGAGATCTACGGTACCCCCAGCGCCCTCCCATCCAATTCTCGAGACACCACCCGCATAGCCGCCGCTGTGATGACTCCAGATGCTGTTAAGAGCTGCGATGAGAAGCTGATTAAATGGATCGTGGTGAATTCCCATTCTTTTGCGGTTGTTGATCAAGAGGAATTCGTGGAGTTTTGCAAGGAGCTACGTCCGGAGTACAATGTCCCTTGCCAGCAGACTATCCGAAAAAAAGTGCTCGATCAGTGGAATGTGGAGGAGAGTGTTGCTCGGGTAGAGATTTGTCGTGAAGTTGCTGGGCGCCGTGTCAGCTTCACGACGGACATGTGGACATCCCCGTCGAAGCGAGGCTACATGGTGGTAACATTGCACTTTATTGACAAGAACTGGCCGATCCGCTCTGTTATTATTGCATTTACGCGCGTGATGTATCCTCACACCGGTAAACGACTCGCCGACCACTTCATTCGCGCAGAGAAAGACACGGAAGCCTCGCTTCTCAGCTGCATTTGGACGATTACAGCGGACAATGTCACCAACAACACTACAATGGTAGCTGAGATCAACGAACGATTGCAGCGCGATATTGATAGGCTTTCGCGAACGGTTCTCGCTGAATTGACTGACCCTGGATCGCCCCGCGGGAACACCACTAGCTCGACTGCAAGATCCGTTATTCAGCTACGCTGCACCGCGCATGTTCTGCAGTTGGCAGTAAAAGATGGTCTCGATGAGTGCCCATTTGTTGATTCGGCGATTGGCCATTTGCGAGACATCGTGAAATTTTTTTCAGAATCAACGAAGCTGTCTGAAGCGCTTGAAGTGGTGTGTAGTGACCTGGGCGAGAACTATATAACGCCCAAGCTTGATGTGCCTACACGATGGAATAGTACGTGGACTATGATGGAGAGTCTGCTTACGTTAAAACACCCCCTGAACGAGTTGCTTCGTCGTATTCGAGGTAAGGTTTGTGGATATACGGATTTCACTATTCGTCCAAGTGATTCATTGGCCAAGGAGATTTCAGAGGAGGCGTGGACGGCTGTGGGCGCCCTTTACAAGTTTCCCAGGCCCATCAAAGAAGCCACAGATATGCTATCTGCGTCGACGTACCCCGTGTTTGGGATCCTGCTCTACACGTACTGTTTGATCCAATTTCACGCAACAGAAACTATAGCAAACGAACAAGACGAACAGACGCTGAAATTTGCTGAAGCAGTTAAGGCCAAGATGGATGAGTACACGGTGAAGGTCAACACCAGAGAAGCCCGGATTGCGCTAGCGCTAGCTCCGCGTGCTAAGCGGCATCTCCACCTCTTGGTGGACGATGTCGCCCAAGTCAAGGACGAAGTTGAAGACGAGTTCAACAAGAACTACCGCGAAGCATTTCTGGCTCAACAACAATCAGCCTCTGGTCCACCGTCAGCAAAAAAAAGCGAGGCATCGAGCTTAAAGGCCTCATGACCCGATTTTACCAGCAGAATGGTGAAAGTGTATCCAGTGGCACCCCTGTGGATGATATAGGCGACAGACAGCTTGAAATCAGCATTCGGGAAATGCAGCGTGAGGATTCCTCGTTCGCGAAGGAGCTCGACCGGTGGCTGGCAGCGGATGAAGGCATGAGTGAGATGAGAGAAAGTAAGCATGTGTGTGTGCCTGGTTTCAAGCTACGGGGAACGTTTATCCACGGATTAAGCAAATGGCTCAAGATTTTTTGGCGGTCACGGCAACGTCGGTCCCAAGCAAAGTTGCATTTTCAGCAGCAGGTATAGCTCTTAACGCCCGCTGCGCTCGCCTGGGTGATGATACGGTGAAGGCAATCTGCGAGCTAAAGTCGTTCTTCAACTTTAATCGCCGTGAAATCGAATGATGTAGCTGCTTGTTCTCACGAGTAAGTTCATTTACAATACAATGCCGGTGCGTACACAATTACCCTTACTCTTGCTTATAAGGTTCACCTGAGCGCCGTAGTCCCTTCCCGGCTCTGCTTGTACAGGATGTAGCCCCCTGCACAGCTCCAAGGTCTTCAACACCGGCAACGATGGCAGGATAGGCCCCAACCAAGCTGCGATGGCGCACACGTCCTGGATCTCCTGCACAGCCTCATCGATACCAGCTGAGAACGTCATTGACGTGATGCTGCTGATCATGCAGGCACCGCGGTGAAGTCCCAGTCTCCACAACAGCGATCTCCTCCTTGTTTATTAATAGTGCAGACACTGACACAGTCAGTGTCGAAGCAGAATTGAAGGCACTCTCCGTCTTGCTGTCGGTGCCGCCAGCCGCGCGGCGACGCTCGACGAGATGTTCGCCTTCTCTCCACCAATACGCCAGCGCCAATTGCCGCACCAGCAACCGTAGTGCCGCTTGCAGGCTGCAAGTTGCAGCAGCAGCAGCAGCACCACCACCACCACAAGCGGTAGAGCAGGAGGTCCGTTCAACATACTCACAGCAGCAGCAGCAGCCACTGAGCCAGACGCCGACGCTACGAACTTCAACTGGGTCGCGCAAAACACTGACTCGCAGTACTCGCCACGCACCGCGCGCTTGATGAGGCGCACGCGCAGCGTTAGGTTGTACGGTCCCAAGTACACGATGCGAATTTGCACGAGCAAGAGTATTAGCATCGCACCACACACGAGCTCACAACGTACGCGTTCCTGCTTGGCAAGCAGTGCTTGCACTCATCACTGATGCTGATGATTCATCAGCGTCGTGTCGAACAGCTCCACCAGTTCCAGGAATACCAGGGTGCACTTCCGTGTCGCCGTAGATCTTCGCCGTGATGCTGCGCACCAGAACTCAGCTGCAGGATGCTGAATCAATCATCAGCGTCGCTGATGAACGTCACCTCATCCGTGCCCATGCAGCCCTCCGCCTTGTACGGGGTGTCCGCGCCTGCGGCACCCTTTGCTCTCGTGTGTTAAACTTGAACACCTCACCGTCAAGATGAGGCCGTCGATAGGGTACAAACCAGCGGCGACAAATACATCATCAACACCGGCGCGGGCCTGACGATCATCACGAGGCAGGCGTCCTGCGACTTCGTGGTCATCAACTACAATGACCAGGAGCCACGTCAACACGGATCTCGGCCAGGCAAAGTCGTGATTCAGTCCCTCAACGACGTCAAGAAGCCCATCAACGTCAACTGCAAGAAGAGGGTCATCGAGGAGTCCTACTCCTTCTGCCTCAACAAAAACGTCGTGGGCACACGATCGATCTGGTGCTGCCGGAGATGCGCTTCCTCGCTCGCCTGGACAAGACGGCGATGAACCAGGGCATCCTGGAAACCATCAAAGGCTGGCATAACGGCCATTGAAGCCACGGATGTCGTCACAAACGCGGGAGGCACCACCCGCTCCAAGTACTACCCGGGTTTGTCCTTCGTCGACGACGCCGTCCATGGCGTCAACAGCACCGCTGCCGGTCTCTACCTCGTGATCTCGGAGCAGGGCTACGAAACGTCGAGCGGTGGACCGTTCTTCCGTGACATCAACAACAAGCTGTCATTCTACATGAATTCGGACCACACGCGTTTCTAGGACTACCGCTACGAATTCCACGGCCCGTACGCACTTGCGCTCACGAGTGGCGCCGGCCCTGATGTCTCAACCCTCGACTTCAGCTTCTTCCAGGACCAGGAGCTCACGGGCTTTGTTCCGGATGCCAAGTGTGGCGAGGTGGCCGGTACGATCACCGACGCCAACGATGTTTTGGGCGACTCGGAAGTCGTCGTAGTATTCTCCAACGCTGACGCGCAGTACTGGGTCAAGGTGCCCGCATGTATCAAGACGTTCACGTCGCCCAAGATGAAGCCCGGTACCTACTAGGCCATCGTCTACAAGAAGCAGTTGGCTGTTGGTACGGCTAGCGTTACGGTCGCTGAGGGTGCGTCCACCTCGGGAACCATCGACGTCTCGTACGAGATGAACACTAGCCCATCTGGCGCATCGGCGAGTGGGACGGCAAGCCCGACGGCTTCCTGAACGCCGACAAGATCCACCCGAGCAACGCGCATCCA